ATTTTTTTTTTTTTTTTACATAAAGTAGATGCTTTCTAGCATGTATCTCTTAGGTAGTAAGGCATCAGTGTAGTGTTGGTTGGATCTTAGGAATAGTGCTCTGATTTACAAAGAACAATACCCACGAGTATTAATTAATTGGATGTTCATTGCCAGCAGAGGGACACTGATTCCCATGGAATGCTCTTGCAGATATGGAGTCTCCAGTATCTATTGGGGCCACACCACAACCACCTACATCACAGGAGACCACTGGGGCATTGCCTTGCTTCCCTTTCTCCATGGGATGGGAACACCTTTCCAGATTATTTCAATGGGCCAATGTCTTTAAAGGCTTCTATCGGTGCAGCTAGCCTCTGTAGGCCTAAGAAACAAGGATGGAAGTAACATTGCCATCCAGAATAACTGATTTTCCAGCTGGTTTTCCCCTCCAAGCTTCTTGCCCAGATGGCAGACTGGATTCAAGGCCTTCTTGCTGCTCCAAAAAGCATAGGGCAATGTTGAACCACCCCATTTTTATTCTGTGATCAGTGCCATCTGGGATGGAAGACATGCCATGGACGCATTTTAAATTGCAATTGTGAAATGCAGTAGTACATACATATTTATTTGTTTGTTTATCCTTTTAAGCAGAAGAGCAATGACCCCATTTAGGTCAAGAATAATGCACTCTTCAGAAGTGAAATGTATTTAGTAATAATGACAGTGGAGGAAAATATCTCTTTCATAAGAAAACCTGATATGTAAACACACAATGCAACTTAGGGCACATCTTCGTTTCACACTTGAGAAGTTCATGCAAGTGAAGAAAATTCAGAGATTTTTTTTCCTACCCCCAAAGAAACATAATCCAGAGTTTATATCAGATGGTTTATGGGAGTTTATTGGAATATCCAACAGGGTTCATGTAGTGTGTCATAAGGTAAAGCCTGTTCATTGGTGATTTACAAGCAGTGTGTGCCGGTGTTACTGTAATTTATAGACCACAGATGGTCAGGGGGTGCCCCTGCTGACTTGGAGCTGAATAAGAAGCTGAGCCCTGCGTGTCATCTGCTGCGGGTACCTCCGGCTCACTTCCTCAAATTAGCCCTGGTGGGGATCTGCCTCCTGACTTGGAGGGTCCCAAGCCCTCTGCAAGCTGAGGTTGCTCTGGGAGGGGAGGAACAGTGAATGTTTAAGGGTGGGGGGAAAAAGAGCAAAAAAAATGAGAACATTGGAACAGCACTGGAGGAAAATTGCTTTCTACGCTAACAGCCTTCCTTCTGAAGGTTGGTACTTCTTGATGGGCTTCTGTCACTTGTTAAATGGAGAAGGAGAGAACATCAAACGCCCCTTCTTAATCTCTTCTAAGACAAACATCACCACCACCAAAATTTATATATATTCATAAATCTCCCTTGTAACAACCTCTAAGATAGATCCTATCTTTGTTCACATCACTTTCCCCTTTTAGGTAATTGCTTGTTAATGGCGTTCTGCATTTTACTAAGACTTACGCCAAGTTTACCCAAGTCTTTGCTTCTTTAAACCTTGCTAAATAATTGCCTCATTACCACGGCACCTCGTGCTGCTTGCATGGAGACCCACTGCTCGTGGAGTATCGTGTTTTGTCAAAGCAGCTCGGAGCTGGGAGGACAATTTGGGGTTCTTTCCACGCTTGACACCTGTTGCCAAATGCAGTGAGAAATGCCTCCATGTAAACACACATCCCAGTTCACAAACAAGTGAGTGATTTCTTTCTTCTTTCTCAGAGATCAAAGATGTAGGAGAATTTTGTGGCTTCTCTAGTTAATAATGAGAAAAGAAGAAAAACATTTTCTTTTCCTTATCCAGACGATTAAAACAACCAAAAAAAAAACCAACAAAAAAAAACACCCTATAGACAAAAGGACCAGAAGGAGAGCTGTAATGGAAATAAAATTGACAGCCTCTCAAAACTCAGGTGGCATTTTCCTTTTCCAGTTAATTACAGTTTTAATTACACGGCTTCTTGTGACTCCTTGATACCTAATAAACTAGACTCTGTGGGGCGGCAAAGTTGAGTTTTGCTTGAACTGCAGGTGTAAGGCTCAGCATGAAGCATAAATCAACTTCTTAAACATGTTCCCAGGGTGTGTTCAGGCTTTTTCTTCCTATTTGCTTGTAAAAAATCACATCTTTTCACCATCATTTGTTAAAAAAAATACGATTGGAGCCACAGTACTGCAAGTATTAGCTTTGTGTCTTAGGTTGTAAGAATCCCCTTCCAGTAGGGAAAAAAAGGATTGGGTTTTTTAGGACTTCAGCCTGATGGTTTTTAAAGGAGTGGTACATTACCTGCATTGCTTCTCTCATTATCCTTTCTTATTTAAGATAGAAAGGGGAAATGCACTGAGAACATGAAAGCAAGGGGAGATTGGGCTGTGGAAAATAAGGGCTGTTCAGCCTGTAGGCAACACAGGTTGGATTTGCCTTTTGTGTGCTGCCCTGTGGGTTGCTGCCGCCAAAGGCTGGGAATAGATTCCATGTTTCTCAGTCGTGGTGATGCTGAAGTCATACTGGAGACATGGCACTGTAGTGTCACCTGCCCTGTGCTGGTGTCACTGCCACATAGACTTCTGTGCAAGTCCCAGTCCTTGGGAGTCCAGAGCCACAGACTGCTGAGGCTTTACAGCCCATAGCATGAAGCCAAAGCTGGCATGTCCCAGCCAGGCAGCCCAGCCTGCCTAAACACCAGCCTCAGCTTTCAGATCTAAAGGGGGATGTCAGGAAGTCCAAAACCGTGCTGCCAATTCAGAGGGTAAGAAGAAGAAATCTTCCACCCTCCCAACCAAATAAAATGTCTCACCATCTTTATCAATTAGTTGTGGTTGTATTTTTGTAAGCACACAGAGAGGCAATTACAGAGTTTCATTTTTTCCAGAGAGGGAAAAGCAGGGCAGAGCTAAGGGAGTAAAGGAAAGGAGGGGAAGCAGGAGGCAGAGGAGCAGGAGTTTAAAAGAAGACACAGAAGCCCCGTACATGAGTGTCTTTCATTCTAGCACTCCAAGAGGCATGGAGAGCAAGAACAAAGAAAAAAAAGACAAATCAAATATCTAAAATATTTTGGTTCACAACAATGAAATGAAGCAAAAGTTCCCAGCTGAATTGGAGTACACGTTCTGTGTGCTCTGCAGTGTTTCCTATGAAAGCTTCCAGGGCAGCAGACTGAAACCAGCGTGGGTATGAGGGCGAGGGCTCTGGTTCCCCCATGAGTTGAGCTGCCTGCCCCTAGCGCCAAAACTCTGTTGCTGCTCAGGCACTGGCAATGCGGCCTGAAGACTTGTAATGCAGCTCCAGCATGGAAAACGCTGGAAGGCTGCATTTAATAATGGCAGAACAGACTGCATGAAGGAGCATTCACCACAGAGAGACCCTGTTGGGAAGGCAGCCTGGAAGAGGTTTGTTTCCCTTCCAAACTGATCACCAGTGCTGAGAACCCCATGCGTATCGGCACAGGTCTGTGCAGCACACAGCGTGAAGAAGCAACAGTCGTGTGCAACAAAGGCCCAGGAGATCCAGAAGACATTGAATAAAATGTCTGAGGGGAAAATATTTGCTAGCCCAGGGCTTGAAGGAGACTCAGCGGTTCATGAAGATCCCAACTCGGTGACATGTGACAGCAATGGCAAAGGCTCTGAAAGATGGGTATGTACCCAGCCAAGGAGCACAACGGGAAGATCTATTGCTTTTGGGGATCTATTATTTTCTGGTTCAGGTAGTCCGTCTAACCAACCAACCAGCTTGGCTTGTTTTTAAGCTAGACCCTCTCAAACTCAGCACAAGCTCACCTGAGCAATCTCAGTTTTCTAACTTTCAGGGGGAGTGTGAGTTATGATTTACTGGATCGCTCTGGCAAACACAATGTAATAAAAACCTGACCTGTCTGATGTGTATGGGCTACTGTATTATAAATATTTAATAAGTTGTATGGAAAGAAAAGAACTATAGGGGTTACAGGAATCATATTAAAGCAACTAAGTAAATACAAAGAAGGTTAAAGTGTCTAACTCTATACGCTTTAAAGGCTAAAGCAAACCAGATCTCTTTCTAGATTCTTTTTCCATGTACAGCGGTAACTGGGCTGCATAAAAATAAGGCGAGTATTTAAAGACAGGAAAGAAAAAAAAGAGAAAGATCTAAGGCATTTGTTTGGCATTGATAGCAATTTCAAAAAAGCCCTGGAACATTTAAAGAGAATTAGAAAGGATTTGGCTGGAATCAGAGGGGGAGCACTTTCCATGGCTGGGTGTGTATTTGGGTATCTACAAACTGCCTACATTTGAACGAGCAGAACAGCCTTGATCATCCAGGGCTTTATAACCAGAAAAAAAAGGCTCTCCTGTTTGGGCTCTTTTTTTCTCACTCACACATATCCAGATTTTCATTCTTCTGCATGCTCGATGGTGAAGTAACATTTATTTTGGCACGGAGCTTGTGCAGTACTTGGAAGGGCCCTCTGGGGTGAGAAGATATGGTGCACCCGCTGGGGTGAGCAAACCTGCTCTACTTTGGGAATCATTCCAGGGGGAATTTTGTTTCTTTTTTTCCATCCTATGTTGTTTCCATGGGGTGGATATACAGTAAGTCTGAAGCAGAAAGGCAAAAACAAGCAGGTGTGCATGCATGCCCTTCTTCCTGCTGTCTCTTTGGGGAAGAAGCCTACAGGAGCTTTTCATTGCCATTTGACGGGAGCCTGAGGAAATCTTGAGCTGGTTTTAGGTCAGGGAGTGTATTTCCTTACAGTTTCCTCTAGAGATGGTTATGGTTTTGTGTCCCACATGCCTATCTCTGAATCATGACATGGATTCCTGCTGTGAGCCTTGGAAGAGGCAATGATGCTGCAGTGGCTCTTTTATTGAGAGCAGCTTTCTGCACACCCCTATGCTGGCCAACTGCAGCCAGTGCAAAGAACGCTAGATTCACCTATCCGAACGTGCACCTTTTTTACTGATGACCTTTATTTTTTTTTCTTTTTGCAGTATTTTCTCTGCTGCAGCTATCATCCTAAATAACATCAGCCCACCAGTGGCAGAGGCTTTACAGTGCAATGGAGAACTATTTTGAAGGTACAAATCACTTGACCTAAAGAATCTCCCTGGAGTGTCAGTGCTATGCACTACATTTTTGCTCTGCTGAAGCCTTTATTTAGCACATGCTAAAGAACATTTAACATTTAAAGATCCCTTCTGCACATCCTCCAAATGTCTCCATCCTTTACTCCTAGATTAATATGTCTTCTGTGAAAATGAGATAATTGATTGCAGAGCCATATTATTTACAAATGAAGTGTTGTTCTTATATTGACCTTTCGTTTCTATAGCTCAATACTAGTTCTTGTACAGCATTTGTAATTAGTGAGATAGTAACAGAATTAGAAGAAACAGAGGGAAAGAAAAGGAGCTCCTGTGGATGCTTTTAATGAAAGGAAACTTCAGGATGACTTGCCCTTTTAAAGCTGCAAAACTGCACATAATCAACACTAATAAAGTCAGTGGCTTGAATATGCACAGAACAGCAAAGCTTCTCAAACCGGTACAGATGAAGCATGGGTGCTGCCATCAGTGATGCTCTCTCATGAGAGCCACTCCTGGGCTTGGAAAAAGGTGAGATTTGGGGAATAACCTGCAACTTATCCTTCTGTGGGTCTGCTGCAATTCCCCTGTAAGTGCCATGGTCTGTTTTCAGTGGCAATGTTAGTTATTAGCCCTATAGCTCTAAAGGAACTACTGCGACTGCAGAAGTGGTTTTCCTATATAAATATATATATATATATGTATATACATAAAAGCAATGTCTGTCAGTGAAAATCTGGGAAAAAAAAATATTTAATTTACTTTAATATGGTCACAAAGGAAAAAAATAGGAGTAAATATTGGAAGGAAAGCTGTAGGGGTCCTTCCAGCATCCTATGGATGCAGACAGGTAAGACACATCACATTGAAGAGGATCTTTTTCAGGGATGACTCTTGTCACAGTGACATGGGCTCACATGCAATGCCCGCTGAACCTACAGAAAATAATAATAATAATAGTAATAATAATAATAATTCAGTACTCGTTAGGGAATACAAACGTGCTGCTTTGTTGGCTGCATTGTTTGCTGCACCTACTTGAACCACGGTATCTCCATTTTCTTGTCAGGGAATCATAGAATCATAGAATCATAGAATGGCCTGGGTTGAAAAGGACCACAATGATCATCTAGTTCCAACCCCCTGCTATGTGCAGGGTTGCCACCAGACCAGGCTGTCCAGGGCCACATCCAGCCTGGCCTTGAATGCCTCCAGGGGGGCACTCCCACTTCCTTCTTATTCATCTTCTGACACTATGGAAATGCCAGCAGTGATGCTCCACTCCTACTGAGCTCTCATTCCTATTAAATGGCACCACAAGGAACAAAATTTCAATACAGCTGAAGGAGATGGCAGCAAGCTCCACACTCCCAATGCCCTCATCTCACAGCATGGAAAAGTCTCTACATGCCCTGGCCACCCCAAATGACTAGGTTGTATCCTTCTGCACACATTCATTCCAACCAGAACCAGGATGCCAGGGCAGCTGCCCCTGTACAGTGTACAATATACATTCCCTAGTGTCCTGGGGTGCATGGACCCTCAGCAGTGGGGCTGGTGGGAGCACACCAGCTACCTGGGATCTTATAAATCTTTCAGCTATCAGTCTTTCAGAGCTCCAAATGCAAAATCCAGCAGCCCGGGATATCATGTGGATTTATGACCTGGGATTTATGAACTGGTCTGGATAAAATAAGAACTGACTTGGCTTTTTTTTTTTTTTTTTTTTTAAAAAAAGGTTTGAGGAGAAGAAATAGAAAAAATGAAGACACGATTTTTTTCCTCCTTTCAAAGCCTGTTTACAGAAACATGTGTGCATATGAATGTATATATTCAATTATTTTGACTTTTGTTACCTGTGTGTTTCCTGCTCCTGGCTGAGGCCAATCTCTCAGGGCGTCCTGCCTGCTGGGGCAGCAGGAATCAACACAAATTGCCCCAAAATCACAGTCTCAAGCCATTCCCTGCCTGCTTCTAGGCTGGGAAAGGTGCTGGTAAGTTCTCTGTGGTTTTTGAATGCTTGCAAGCAGTGGGATGGCTCCCTATATTGACACTGCTGCAGCTCTCACCCTGACACTTCCTTTCATCATTTTTTTCCTGAGATAATTTTGCAGTCCTTGTTCTTTTTCATTGATGGCAAGCTGTGTATTTTGGGGTGGAATCTGCAGTTGTGTGCATGGTTTTGCTTACACCTATGTGTCTCTGTGTTATTAATACATGCACTTATTCATCCAGCAATAAGCATTGTTGTATATAAGTATGTGTGTATGTGCACAGTATGCATGTATATATATACATATGTACTTCCACATCTATGTATCTATTGCTGCATGCCTGTATAACAGTGCACACAGACATTTATGAGCATTATGAATGGTTCGTGTATTAAGCCTTTGATTAGAAACCAATACAAACTATCACTTTTTATTACTACTCCCCAACTGTATGTACTTTGCATGATCTTTTACAAGCCCATCCTGAAGGACTTTCTCTCCTTATCTGTATTTCATGGCCTTCATTTCAATTTGTCTTATCTTAAAAACAACAACAAAAAAGAAAATATGTTATTTACCTCGGTCAAGAGGAAAACTGCCAGACAGATTTTTATTGTCTCCTGCTCAACCCTTTTGTACCTCTGCCCACAATTTCTGGGTGATTATTTTTCAGCAGTTCTCAAGTTAACTTTCCATGTTACAGATTAGAGTTACTTCTTAGGGAAAAAAAAAGAAAATAAAGAAAAAAATGTACATTTACATGTATATATTCATACATACGTAGCCCAGATTTTCAGTCTACCACCTTTTCCATCCCCTCGGGTGCGGACTTGTCTGTGAATCAGCACAGCCACACTGTGCCCTCACCTTCACCCAGCATTGCAGGAACCTTTGTGTGCACCCATCAACCCATCTAGAAGACATAGGATGCTGTTTGCCCTGTGCACGTAACCTCTACATGCTGATAGTTGTTCCCTAAAGCTCCCACCAGCCCCTTCAGAAGGAAAGGGCTAGGGAGAAATGCCCACTGAGAGCTCCTGGCGCTGCCCCTACTGCAGATAGAATGTGACACAAGCACAAGGACACTGAGATGATGCTCCAGAGCAGCTGCTTATTACTCTGCACAAGAAAATCAATTTTTACACCATTTCTGATGCCTGGGCAAGCTCAGGTGAAGCCACTTGCCCAAGCCAAAGAGCTCAAACCAAGCCATGAAGTAGCCAAACGAGTGAAATGACCGTAGCCCTTGGAGCACAGCCTGGAATTGCAATGGGCTCAGCTGAGAACATGTCATCAGGATGCAGGAAGCCAGGAAGGGCTTGGCGGACAACATGAGCTCTTTGGAGGAGAGCAAAGCAGGGTTTCAGTGGCCCATTGTTGGTGGCAGTCTGGCTAGCTTTGCTGGAGCAGCCACTGTAGGGTGAAGCAAGAGGTTGCGGTTTGTTTTTAATTACCAGACATTTAAAGTGTTTTTCAGCATGACTCACGTCCCGGGAATAATTGAATTTGGAGATTTTGTTTTCAGTGCAATCGAGGAGTCCACACCGCATCTGAGAAGTAGAAAAAACTGTTGCTTAAACTGTATGTTATTTGCCAGGTATGTGTGGGCAGGGCAGCCATCTCCCCCGGTACCTAACTCCAGGTCTGAGCTCCTCTCCCAATTGGAGGCTGAGGGAGGGGATCGGTGCAAGGCACCGTGCCTGGAGCCCCCTCTGTTCAAAGGCGCCCAAGGAGATGGAGCTGGCCTGGGGATGGCTGGAGGCCACACAGACGGGAAGGTATGTAGCAATCCATTTATCACTTTGCAAATATTAGTGCTGCTCGCATTTGCTGCGGCAATATTTCTTCTTGGAAATTGGTGAAGTGAGTAATAACAATGTTATTTATTCTAAGACCTTGGAGCTGAGAAGCAATAACAGGGGGACTGTTCCCTTGAAAGCTTCAGAGGTGCTGGAAATAAAATGGGAGGGGGAGAAGGAATCAACCAACAAAGGGCTGGGGAAGAGAAAGGCACATCAGAAAGCCACAGAGATCTGGGGTTTCATTTCATTGCCTAAGAAAACCAAATGCATTTTGTGAAAATTTGTGCACAAACAGAGGGCAGTGGTGGGCATTCTACATGCCCTGTTGGCATGGTCATGGAGCTGCCGCATTGCCTTCGCCTTGCTTTGCTTTTATTCCTCATTTCTCCCCCCCTTTTTTAAACTTTCCCCCTCTCTGCATGGCTTATCTGAATATATAGGGCTGCCCCTTGCTCAGATTTATGGGTCAGGGCAGCACTGTGTGTATTTACAGTCTCCCGACCTGAAGACCTACAGCTGAACAAGAGAAGGAGGAAACCAGGGCCCGTTCCATAAACAGAGACAGATACAGGGGGGAGGCAGGAGGAACTGCCAGCACTTAACATTTTTAACTATTTGGCCAAGCAAAGGAATTAGTGATTAGATTAGAGCCCAGGAAAAATGAGAAGAGGGGTGAAAGATTTCGGGGGGAGAGAGCCAGGCCTGGCTGGGGTTTGAGGAGTGCAGAGTTGGGGGAGTGCAAAGGGTTTTCCACTAGAAGTCAGAGGGTTTACAGGCGGCTGTGCAGGGTGAAAGTGAGATCCAAGTTCTTCAGTGGGAGCTTTGCTTCTTTGGGCAGAGCTGAGGAACTCCTCCAAAGTGCAGTTATGCTCAGTGCAGAGGTGAATTGCTCAGTCTGTGTTTATTCAGGTACTAATTGCCCCAGATTAAGGAAAAGAAAAGCCTTGCTCGGCCATAATAAATATTTCTTACATCTATGGTTTGTGGGCAGAAGTTTAGTTCAGATGAGACATTTTTCAAAGGACCCTGCTTCTCTGACATGAAAAGCAGCAAAAGTGGCAACAACCTGGAAAATAAACAAATGAAACGCAACATACGTAGAGGTCACAACATAGCACAAGTATATCAACATGATGAACAGCTTTGATGAAAATGGTAAACAAAACCACCCTCTCTTCCTGTGGCTTGTTTTACATTGCAATAAACCACCGACTCTATAACCTATCAGAACATGCTGAGATTTTATGCATCATTTCCAACTACTATTTGAACATTTGGTTTAGAGTAGTCATGAACTATAATTAATGGGATTTTTTTTTCTCCCTGATAAAAAGCGTGCTTTATTGGAGTTTATTACCTGTTGGTCCAAAGCACTGTAGGTGATATGAATTCATTGTGTGGTTGAGGATAGGGAGAGGGGAAGGGGCCTCATGGCAACGAGTTCACATCCACAGGAGTTTCACCCAGTCACTGCCACCCGCGATACCCATGCTATGTGCACGTAGTGCTGCTCATTCCAAAGCCCAATTAAAAGCAGCAGAAAAGCAGCGGATGCAATAGGAACGTGACCACGCTGCTGTTGCCGTTGTCTGATTTTGCATTTCCATCACTACTTTTTGAGCTGTACCATGTGCCTGAGAATAGCAGAGCTCAGAGCACGGGCATCACACGTCGACATCCCTGCTCATGCAGAATGAGACCCTGCAGAAACAAGGGGATGCTGCCCGCTCCAGATGCCAGCCCAGTGCAGCGCTGGTGCGAGTGAGCCAGTAGCGCCGAGACGCCAGGCTCAGCCCGCCGTGGGGAGAGGAGAAAAAAAAATACAACAGGCACCACAAAGAACATTGAGATGAATGGCTCTATTTTATGAGCCATAAAAGTTTTATTCATCTTGACACCGAAACAGGTTTAGGCAGCGAGTTGACACGCCTTAAATAAATAAGTGGAATTAATTCCCCAGCTCTTGAAACAATAGCAGCGTGCATGTCACGCCGAGCGCTGCCCCATTGTTTCCCGTGGCTGCGCGATATTGATATTATTTGTGTTTTTCCGTGCGGCTTCCTCTGGGGCCTGGTTGATCCACTTCAGATTCTTCCCCTGTTTTATTAGAGGTTGAAAAAGGTTCAAGACCTGGTTGTACCGCGGCTCCCACCGACAGCTCAGGAACCAGTTTGGCGTCTGGTTTGTCTGTTGTTTTACTGCTGACCTTCAGCTCAACTTTCCCCCCTGACCCCAGGAGGCATCTATCATGACAAGAGGCTGTTTAACACAAATGGTGCCCATTTATAGGGGAAGAAAGTCAGAAGATTTCCTTTTTATGAAGAATTTGGTTTTTCACCCCTCTTTTCTCAGTCACCACAGGTGAAATCCCTCCCAGCAGCTGGCTTATGAAATAATGCGAGGGGAGGCCGTAATGAGCTGAAAGCACCCTCAGCTGGAGATAAATATATGCAAATGAGATGCACAAACAAAGGAGCCTGGACAGAGAAATATCTGCAATTCCAGCAAAATGCTGCCTGCAGCTAGAAGATGAACAGCTTTGATAAAATGGTAACAAAAAGCACCTTTTTATCCTCCAGCTTGTTTTACATTGCAATAGACCATTGTTATTGTAACCCAGCGGAGCATGCAGAGGCTTTCTGCGCCGGTTCAAAAAAAACCTGTTTAAACATTTGTTTTTAAGGCATTCAGGGGCGATGATCAATGCGCTGTTTTGTTTTTCCGCCGGCTGGGGGTATCGCTGCTCGGTGCGGTTGGCTGGAGGCTCCCGGTGCCATTCCCGGTACCTGTTGGGCTCTGCGCGGGGCTTGGGTGCGCCGAAATTTAGGAGCTCGTGGAGAGAACAGAGGGCCAGCGGGTGGGGGGGGGCACGGAGGAGAAAAGCCAGGCGTGAGGCTTCCCAAAGCAGCACCCGAGCAGGCAGCGTTAATGAGCGCAATCAAGCCTCGGAGCAAACGCGGAGGCAGCCATCGAGCATGCTGATTTTAATAAGCTTTTTAAAAAGGCGATTGCTAACTTTTATAAAAAGTCTTCTTGTTATCAAATGTAGTTGTTTGGGGTTCCTGCGTTGCCAAAACAAACACGGACACTAAAATATGCTTTCAGTATGCAGAATTAATGTATCTAGATCGTGTTTTAAATTAGCCCTGCTTTGGGTGGCGGGGGGTGGAGAGCGAGGGGCTGCCTTCAGATGACTTTAAGGCATTTTTTAAGCAGGGTTGGTCGCTCCCAAATAACATCTTTGTATTCTCACCTCTGCCCTTACGGCTCCCCATATGTGTCCGTACGGATGACTACAGAAAGCAAGCCCCATCCCTTGCCATTAGCTGAAACGCGGAGAGAAAGGCAGAGCAAGGCAGCACAGCGATGCCGCGCAGCCCCGACCCTGACAGCACCATTACATAGGTTGTTACACATTTATAAAGGGAGCACAAACACCATAAAGTTTGGGCAGCCCTTTGCTCGGGGCACCAAGCACAATTTTTAGAAGAAAAATAGACTTACCTCTTAGGGGAAAAAAAAAAAAAAAAAACATATATACACGTAAAAAATCCGTCTCTTACTACGCTATACAGCTATGGTACTTAGAGATGTTAGAGAAGGCAAGTGTCGGATTTCCCGATGTCAAGCAGATCTCCTAATTTTTCACAGCCTCCCGTGGCGATTTTGGGGCCAGAGCGGAGAGGAAGCGGTTCGGAGTGCTGCCCTGACCCCTGGGAGCCGGCTGCTGCACCCGGGCGCCCCGGCGTGGGGCTTCAGGAGTTAATGGAAGTTGGTAGGGCCGGGAGCCGCTCTTTTTGCAGCCCAGGTTTGCGGCGGCATAATTATGTTCAACCGCTGTTGTTTGAAAAGGGCAAGCGGCATCTTAGGCGCAGAACAATGAAATTACAGCTGAGATTTAGGTTAGCAAAAGCCGTCTTCTGCAAGGCTTTTATGATTCATTATTTCCCATTAAATACAGTATTAGAAGTGTACACCAGATAGCTCATGGTTGCTGCGCTCAGAGCACATTATCTATATTACACAGGTCTGGGGAGCAGAATTAGAAAACTTTGGGGGAATGAGCAATATGTGTTTGCTGATAGAAGTACCATATGGCTCATCTTCCTCAATTGCTTTCATTGCAACTCCGATGCTGGAGAAATTAAAGTTTTATTTGATGTGGCACAGCTTAATGAACTGTCTTCTGTTAGGAAAATTGAATATGTTTCCTGTTATTTGAGCACAGAGCCCTCATGGTTTTGGCTGATGAGGGATGCATTATGTATTGTTTATTTAGCATTTTGAAAACAAAAGCAGATATTGGAGGTAAAATTGATTACCACAGGATGCGTTATATCATCCCATTTTTCTTTCTCTCTTTCTTTAATTTACAGCCCTGCCTATTATTTTTACGACGGCTTTTTTTAGTTTTCCCCCCCCCCTCCCCCTCTCCCCCTGCCCTGAAAAAAAGGGGTTTGGAGGCAGAGTGCATCTCTCGGCTTTGTTTAAAACCAGCATTACAATTTTTAGGGCTTCGGTTCCCTACGTGCTCCCTGTGCATCGACCCAGACAGGCTTTGTTAATGCAGCCCCGGTGCTGCTCTTCTGCCTCAGCAGGGATGCAGAGAGGGGAGCAGCCCCCAATCCCCCACTTCCAGAGGCGCCAGGAAGGGTTAATAACTGCAGGATGGCGGTGGCCGAAGGGGAGGGGTGGATGTAAGGGAGCATGAGGTGGAGCGGGCAACATTACCTGCTGCTTTTGCATCATTTGTGTGCAGCAGGAGAGAAGTTGGCGATGGAAAGGTGTCTTGGATAAAGGGAAATACATATTTTGTGGTGTTGATTTTTTTTTATAATGCAAGCACGCACTAAGGTGTGCGTTCCCTAGCAATACCATGGGAGTACTTGTTCTCTCATAGCAGCCCTGCAGCAGGAAGAATCATATTTGCTCTTCAGGTTTGTGAGAAGACAAATGTATTGAAATGTACTCCGAAACTTCAAGGGAAAAAGATAATCTTTAGGCTATGTTATTCATATCAACCCCTCTTCTTGTTGCTGATATCAATCTCTCAGCAAAAGTGAGGAGCAGGGAGCCCAGAGGCAGACCTAGGCAGGCTCTCGCCCTCTGCTCTGACAAAAAGGAGATTTGTCCTGGGTGCCCCGGAGGACGCTGGCACCACACGAGACCCAAACCCCATCCATTATCAGAGAATGTCCCAACATGTTTACAGCAGCGGGCACAACTCCCATTGACGTCAGCAGGGCTCATGCTCCAGATGGGAGGGCAGGAACCTGCCCCACACCTTCCTAAATGCGGGGGAGAGAGGGGAGGAAAAAGAAGAGAAAGAAAAAGAAGTCACTAGTATTGGAGAGAGCACGTTGCTCTTGAAAATGTCTTGGAGCAAAGTGGTTCAGCAAAAGCAGTACAAACAGTGACTATAAATATTTTCCATTCTGCTTGGCTCTTCAAACAGTGCCCTGCCGTGATTTCAGATGGGCTCAAAAATAAATAAATTACAGCAGGAGCCAGGGGGGAGAGAAGGAGAAAAAGGGGAGGGGGGGGGGAATAAAGGATTACACTGCAGCCAATGCCGAAACCGCAAAAACTTCATTGTCAGACAGATATATTTCCTGGGGAAGAAAATGGTACATTTTTATGAAAGGCTGCTCCGTGACAGGAGCCTCCTTTGAGGAAGACCATTATGCATTGTTATCAGCGTGGCATAATTTGACTGTTGACAAAGTATCTGTGGCAGTGAGAATGAAAGCAGTTAGAAGTGTGGCGGGTTGTAATCAAGAAGATGCTTAGCTGTGCAACGCTGCATCTTGAGCAGATTTGAATCAACATTGCCTTGAGGGGACACGCACCCGCACACGCGCGCGCGCACACACACACACGAAAGTCCATTAATTTTTAGTGGGAAAATTAGAGTGGCACTTGATGAAGTGAAATTTGACATGCGTTAATTGCTCCGCAGCTCTCCTAATTAGGGATTCTTCAAATTCTTTTACTGCTGTCAGGCTGATGCCGCATTGTCTTGGCTGGACAAGTGATAAACCTGCAGAGTGGGCTGAGTGAGGCACTGAACCTGAGCCCATCACTCTGCGGGTTCCACGGGAGGCCTGGGCAGGGCACTGGAGGACAGGGCGAGGATGGGGAAATCCTTCTTCGTGATAAATAAGGATTGGCGCTTTAACAGAGCTGACTGAAAAAGATGAAACTGAAGGGAACCACGGAGCGTGCCCTGAAGTGGTGAAGCATTAAACAAACCTTTCCCCTCTGTTAAATCTGCACCGTGCAGGACGTGTCACCCAGGGCTCTGTTTATAGTGCAGCAATCAGAGCAGCTCGGTGCCTTTCTGCCTGCAGTGCGTGCAGTGCCACGCGTGGGGCTGGGCCCAGCCATGGCTTTTTGTTGCTTTTGCTTTTGTTTTTCCCTTCCCGCTCACTCCTCCCCTCCCTTAGCCTCTGACCCCCTCTTAATTCATTAACATATTGAATTTTTTCAATTTTCCATCTTCTTGCAATAACAATATTAATGCCGGGGCCGAGGCCTGATTGGAGCTAAATTACTTGTTACCTGCTGGCATTTATTTATATGGCATTGAATTATAAAGCTTTGCTATTGTCATGCCTTGGGCGAATTGTTTATGACACCAGTAATAGGAGTAATTGTTATTGTTGAAATTACCTGTCAGCTACCCATAGCAGTGGCCCTTGTCCCACTGACAAATAGTGACAGGGGAGAGGGATCCTCCGCACGTCCTCCTGATGACTTCTCCTCCGATAATAAGGAGTGCAGGGCCTCTGATAATTTGCCTGTCACTGCTGAGCGCAGCTCAGAGAGAGTTGGCCAAATTGTTGTCATTCACTTTGACAAAGACAGCAAAACGCTCTGGAGCAGGAGGAGGATTATCAAAATAAATGAAAGCGCTTACACGTCCTTTGTTTTGTGTTTTTGTGCGTGTGTGTTTTTCCCCTCCTTCTCTGCTCGCCCGCCTTTATGCCGGGCTGTAGAGCGGGGACCTGCATCGTGCCCGCATGCCTTCCCCACAGCGTGGGGGACGGCAGGGCTCGTGCTATTTGCTTTCTGCTGCTTTCAAATGCATGGGTTTCTTACTATAAAAGTATTCTTTTTTTTTTTTCTCCCTAAGGCTGCCCATGTCTCAGGAATCTCAAGATAAACACTTGGGTGGTGTTTCTGCAGGGCAGATATCTTTGGTTTGTGTGTTTTGTTTGTTTTTTTTTTTAAATTATTATTATTTTGGCTTGGTTTTACTCCCACATCAGGCAGTGGCACTGCTATCAGCTCTCATGCCCTCATACCATCTCCCACGGTCTCTGCCCCAGCCCAGCATCTCCTCCAGCAGAGTAGGTGACACGGCAATTATGAGGTGGTGTGAGGTGTGGCAGAGCTGGGCTGCCCACCCAACACAGAGTGCCCACCCCACATCTCCCCAGCTTGCCTTGTGGCAGCACTGAGCACTTCAGTTGGGCTTCATGCCCAGGGAACCACCACTTGGAGCTGCGTTAGGACCTTTGCTGTTTGTAGCAATGGGCAAACTCCAGTGGCAAGGCATTGCTGATCCACACTGACATCCGTGGGCCCAAGCCTCGTCATAATTGCTCACAGAAGGAGCCAGGAAATTTTGGCAGTGCCAAATCAAAACGCTGACTTTGAATTCGCATGGGCGCAAAAAGAGTTTGTTTCATTTGTAACAATTGGGCTCGAGCACATAATTTAGCCAAATTATCAGCCGCCTCCATCTTTCCAGCGAACGAGCACAAACAATGTTTTAGGAACAGACATCTAAATTTAGTAGGTTTTGAATAATTGATAGGATCGGGTGACAGAAGATAGAAACTTATGTTTCTAATCATCCCAAAGCATTTTCTCGTTCCTCCCGCCCCTAAATGAAGTCACTTTGTATGCAGTTAAATACAAGGAAGATGTCCACCTAACAAGTCTAAAATTGTGATACCATTAAGGGGTTTTCCGCAGTAATAAAATGCAGGGACATGCCTGGGAATGCGATCTGTAAGGCAGATAATTTTTAAGAATGCCTCTTGTCCTTGCTTTGTCTGGGGAGAGACACACGAGCGATCCCGAGAGGGGAAAAAACAAGGCACGCTTCAAAATGAAGATATTGAGGATGTGCAATACATTTCAGGGCGTTGCTGGAAGCTCCCATTTGATGCTTTACCTATAAAGCCTAAATTGAGCCTCTGAGGGATGGCGATGCGTCTCTTGCTCCTAGTTCCACCGAAAACCAAAATAGGCTTTAAATGGCAATGCTACTAACACCCAAGCGTGCTTCCACACACACGGCAATCATCATCCTCCTCGATTCCCCCCTGCGTTCCTAAACACGGAGCTAGCGTCAGGATAATGCAGCTTTACATCCAAAGCTCATTGGAAATGTAAACTTTGAGCAAATAGCAATCGCTCGTGTAGCAGCATTGCTGAGGTGACTGGCAGCAAATTCCTTTCTCTTCCTCCCTCCCTTCCACGCAGTGTTTTGAAATACCCATCAGTGTCAAAGGAAACTGCGCAGAGCGCTGCTGCTGCTCTAAATAAGGCAGAGCAATGTTGAGAGAAACGTCAAAAAAAAAAAAAAAAACCCCTCAGTGGATTAAAGTGACATTTCTGTACCGTGTCAAGGCAGATGACAAAGCTTCGTGTTTTGCATAATTTCAAAAAGAGATCCTTCATAAAACATCCAGCGTATAAACAGGCAGCGGGCTTTTGTTTTAAACATTTAAGATCAAAAGTTATGGTAAGGACAATTAATATTGCCTATTAAAATCCCGTGTTATTCTTAGAGGTACATTTTGTGGTCACTGACTGTAAATAAAAGCAAAGGAACCGAGCCACGGTTTCTCACCAGCGCGCCATCTAGAAATATGAAAAGGCGATTTCCAGCTTTTTTTCCCCTTAAGTTGCTCTTAGATGTGTTTGCTGAATAAACTGGATTAACTGTATTTAAAACAAGAGATAAAGAACAGATTTTTATTGCTCTGCACAGGCTGCAGGGCTTCCATGCTCCTCTCAACACGCTCCACACCCAGGACAAAATATTTACATTTTACCTTTTTTACACTTTATACAATAAGCCAAAAATCCCAGCGACGCTACAAAGATGGGATCAATGGGGAGCGTTGGAAACAGCACATTTCCCCCCTTTCTGTTCCTGGCCAAAGGCCGGCACGTTCCTCCCAGGACTTTTGTTTGCAGTTCGGCAGCAGGATTAGGGAGCAGGGAGGGACGCGCTCGCTCAGCTGAAGGACCTCGCGTTGCATCTGCCTGCAAAACTCCACGGCTGCTGATAATCCAAAACTAATGGGCAGAGCGTGGCCGTAAGAGCGAGCCTGCTTGCAGCTGAATTTCAATGGGCGCTTTCTCAAAAATAGGTATAAAGAAAAGAATTTAGACAAATTTGCCTCTTAACCTTTAAAGATTTCCTGCCTATTCCAGTATGTCCTTTATTGCATTAATTTTTTATTTAAATTACACCATTAACTGGATATGAATTTATCAAGAATACATATATTGATTTATAAAACAGTATCATTAATTATTATAATAGCTAGATGTAGCTGATATTACAAAGCCATTTAAAGGTTTTTAATATAACTTGGACATACATAGATAGATAGACATTATGGACAAGACTACAATTTAAACTGGCTACCAGCAGTTAATGAAATCCTTGATTTATCTTCTCATTTAGAGATTGATTATATTGTTGCTTTGCAAAACTATTTATTTTGTGCCATTTTTCAAAGGATGCCTCAATAAGAGAAAAAAAGATAAATAAAATATTCAGTCAATTCTCAAAGCATATTTGGTTTTATATTTTCTTTCCTAATGCTGCCGTTGATAATTTATTACAAGTTTGGAGCCTTGTCACCTTACCAAAGAATTAGCTTACATGAGAGCAGCTCTGTTTTGCAAATGCACAATTTCACATACTTGGAGAAAAATAAAAAATAAAAAAAAATGGAAAGGCTGTTTTTTTTTGTTTTTTTTTTTTTTTTTTAACAACAATGTGCATATTTCATAAAACGAAAACCAACAAAATGCCTTCCTGGCATAGATTTCTTAGGCATATTTTTGTTTAAGCTGTGGAAAAATGGCACTTACCCTAGTGCTGCAAAGCAGGCAGTCATGGAGAGCATTTTGATTTAAAATGCAATCTGAAGAGAAGAAAAGAAAAAAAAAAAAAAAGGAATGATATAAACAAACAATACACCGCTTTCAAGTTACTCCTAAAATGTTCCTAGATTAACTAATACATTGAAAGTTTAAATCTTTACACATTGTTCTTGAGGGGCTATGTCTCTTGACTCTTTATTTATATCACTTATTCTTGTCTGGCAACATATGTTCCCGATTTATTATAGTATTTTTACTGTTAGCCAGACAAATGTAAGGGCTAGCTGAGAAGAGTAGTTTCATCTGATGAGTTTAACAATTGCAGGGCATCCTTGAGGGTTAGCCAATGGGCTCTTTTGAAGCTATAATACTCACCATTAACCGTTTGGATGCTGAAATATTTGCATTGTCCAAGTTGGGGCTTCCCCGGTGCGAGCCTCTTTGTTTCAAGCAGGCTCGCAGACACACGCACCGCGGTGGGCGAGAGCTGCCCTCCAGCAAGCGCTCCCATACACGCCCTGCGCTGTGCTGCTAGAGCCAGTGTGCCACCCGCCTGCAGTGTGTGTGCCCCCCTCCCGTGGGGTAAAGATAAAAGAGCACAGCAAATTATTCTTTAAAAGTCAGTGGCAAATATTAACTACGGGTCCACGATTTCCCGGTGTCGTTACTTGAGTACCTGTGGTGGAGAGGAAGGCGTTTTCCATCAAAGCACATCCCCAAAACCACGTGTTGTAAATGGACGCTGTGACACCTGGGGGAAAAGGTGGGAGGAGAGGTGGTGAGAAGCTGGGTGCTGCATTTTACACGTCTCATGTTCAAGCAATTCATTCCAAGGTAGGAACCCATGCTTTTTCCTCTGTTTCCTCTCCCATCCCTCTCTCTGTTCGATGCCTACTGGCTCCACTGGAAACCAGTGTGTTTGCCACCACCAGCACTCTTTGCTTGAATACTCAAGCAGGTCCCCACAACCATCTAGACCTGGGGATGTCTTGTGGGGGGTTCCTAACATCATCCCACATCTACAATTCACAGCCTTCAGGCGCATAGTCCAACCATGACACCCAGCAGCACACCCCATCATGGAGGACATCTATCATGGGACTTTCAAAGAACACAGGGGCAAATTCAGAGCAGGCTGTAGGGCACAAACAATATTTCTTGCCCTTTGGAATTAAGTCAGACCTTGGTGATAGAAGACAGCTCTGAAAAGTTTCAATCTCCTTGCATCCTTGGGAAACATGACTCTATGTAAAGCTTGCACAAGGCCACATGTTCAGAGTGGCAATCTGCTGGGGAACGAGATGCAGCAAGAAAAATGCAGTGTTTCAGACAGAATGAGCATTTATAAATGAGCAATAAATAAGATAATTTAAATTCTCTTGAGTTCTTGGAAAGGAGAGTATGACTTGGTGGACCAAGGCATGTCTCCTGCTGTCACTGGTGGAGCCTTGGCCAACACCATGCAACACAGATGTTACTGGGAGAAGTACTCTCATATTATTTCACTTTGATTAAACAGAAGTTCAGTTGTCCTGGGCTCAGCTGTTCGTTTTTACATTTTAAAAATGCCCAAATGTTCCCTATGCTTATTGCAGAGGGGGGTTGATAAGAAGCTGAACTTCATAAAAAAGGCATGGATTCTGACACATGAAAAACATTTCATGGAGATGAAGATTTTTTCTTTCCGCTCAGTTTTCTGTAGTCCACCTTCTACTTATTTTTTTCCTCCCTAAATTAAATTTTAATTGCATTTATCTGACCTCCTGCTGCAATTTTCAGCCCAGAGC